CACACACACACACAAACACACGCGCGCGCACCACAAACACACACAAATACATCATAATATGCGAAAAATAAAAGGGGCATTTTGTTATTTTCCTTTTCTCCTTACACAGTCCTTTTCAGCATTGGAAAAAGAACCAGAAACTTTTATTCAACCACAAAGACAGAAAATAAAGAAACTGCTTTGGAGAGGCTATATAATATTTATACAATGTACATACAATTATACATTTACATGACAATGCATTACCCACTCTTAAAGAAAATAGATCTATATAAAATGTAATTCCGCTTCCAAACCCAAGTGTGTCAGGGTAAGGTTGGGGTAACACATAATGCATGCACACCCACTGCAGCCTCCTTAAACCTCTCTTTAGCAGAATTATACTTTTAAATTTACGATCAGCTGCAGTAGTCTAGCCTACGTGGATGCTAGATCTATTTATATTGGTAAAGCCTATATTTTCCTCTCTGCCTTCTTTCTATTCCTCTCCTTCAAAAAGAAAATCAAACCATTGAGCCCAGAAAACATATTTAGCTTACTTTGTCATCAAACACGGATATATTATTTGTGAGCTCTACAACTGCTGTAATCTTCTATTTCAATTATAGTGAAAGATCCGCCTTTGAAACAACTTATAGATCTACACAAATAGTGTTAGATTTGTACAAAAGAAAACAAACAAAACATATTTATTTTACTCACAAAAACAAACGAAAAGTCTTTATACAACATACCAACAAAAAGAAACCAAAAATCCTCTATTATACTCACAGAAAAAAACCCAATAACAAATTTTCCACATCTACAATACTCACGAAAATATAAACAAAAATGCATCCCTAGATCTAGAGATCTATAGTATGATAAATTATACCCTACTCGAACGAAAAACCTCCACAAAATCCTCTAATCTACATATTACTTTATTAATAAAATTTTACTCACGAACACAAATAAAACATCTCTTTTACACTACTCACGTTTAGTCTCTGCCTCAACTCACAGTATCCACAGTTGTTGTTTTTTGTTTGTTTTTGTTTTTCTACTTTTAATAAACAGTAAACCACAATAACAAAACCCCTGTCTCTTTCTTTCTTTTTTTTTTCTTCCTCACGCACCGCAACAGTCGGTCAGAAATAAAATAAGTCAGACAAAGAAGATCAGCTGAGCGCTCCGTCGTCTGCCACAACAAGTCTTAGTAGTACTCTCGT